TTTGCTAAGCATGTACATCCATTTCAGAATCTAATCACAGACAACTTAAATCTTTTCAACGTTACCCACATTAGTAATTGCAAAATAATAAACATGACAAAATTCAGATTAATAGGGCATCCTGCATAACTTGGATGGCAGGGAGAGCCCTCTGGAATTCTAAGAGTAATAGGTCTGTGTTTATTTCTCAACCGACGGCATAATGTGACTGATTTACAAGAGTTTAACTCAAGTGTTAATCTGACAGTGACGAAGAGCTTCTCAGTGGCAGAATCACTTACACTATCATATTAGTTGCCTCCTCTATTAAAGCAGTATGGTCGATAATTGGAATGCTTTTATGTCTAGTGGTTCTGACAAGGCTCTCTTTAGGTCACATATGGGCGGTCTGGCTTGCTGCACAGCTGAACAGTGGCAAATGATTTAAACTGAGAAAGTATTGTTCTCCTCATATTATGGAGCAAGGGCAGTTCAAGGAAAGTAAGGCTCTGCACTGGCTACCTGCTGGTGTGTAGTAAAATAAGATGGACATGATACTGGGTTGGGAGTACAATTAAATCTATTTTGCACCGATGTGTTGGTGGACAGATGAGTTTCCACATGGCAGAGCTTTATGATCTTTAAGGTAGACTGAACTAATAGATTGGTGTGGAACGCACTGAAGTTACTAAGGATGAGAAAGCAAGCAGCAGTACATTTGAACTACAGGTTTCTCATATGCTCCACGTCATGCTGAGTTTTTATAGCTCCTGGCTTTCAAAAAGCCTGTTTCAAAGAGGTTTGCGCTAGACTGGGCATGCAGTTTTGCTCTGCAGATATTGTCGCTACCGATTTAGTGGAATGCAATTAGGAAGCCTAAATTAAGTGGTAATGGAGAACCAGCTCTTGAAACTGGGGTTTCCACGGCAACCACTGCTTACAATACAGCCTTCAGTTAGTTTTCCCACTTTATCTGCAAAATGCACAATTGAGCTTTAAAACAGCTTTGTGCTGAAAAGCGCACTGTAAACAACTGTTTGCAATGAGAGTTTTACACTGTCTTTAAATACAACAAGCTATCAAATAAAATTTACTTGTCCCCACTAATAAAAAAAATAAACAAAATATCCACACAGTACAAAACACTAAAGAGCCCAGAAACTTACTATTCATTCTGGAAATCTATATATAATATAAAAATTCAAGATGTTATGGCTCGTCAATTTGTCTTTTAAGTCTTATCATTATTCCTCAGTTTTAAGACGTATAATCCCATATCTCTCAGTAGTGAGAAAAACTGAGCATTTTGGTACAAATACTCCATTTATCGCAATAGCAACGCTATATAGTTATAAAGTGCTTTTTGTCTAATATGAACTAATAAATGTGCATTTTCATCAGACTTCCTTTTACATCTAGCAATCTTTTATAGATTTTTCCCTTTATAATGCATTATTATATCCTTCATAAATGTTATTTTATGGCAAAGTAATGCTGTGTCATTTCTGAACTGCTTAACATTCTTGATTGCTTTAGGATCGCAGCCCAACTTTTGCATCTTGTCAAAACCAATCACAGGTGATTAAATATATGCAAAATACAGAAGAGTGGAAAAGGTGATGTTAAGATCATGTCTAATTTGTATTGACCACCCTTTTCCTGATAACACCATCAAACTGAATCTCTAAACTGAAATTAAGTATTTGCAAACAATTATTCTCCTCTATTGTACAATCACAAGTCTTGGTTTAATACTTCCAGGTGATTAGTAAGAGTTGAGAGGTTGGCAGTTTTTAATGTTCCCTTTTTTTTTTCCCTTCTTGTTTGTTTTAATAAAGAAAAAATCTCAGAGAAAACATTGTACAAACATCCCTGAGATAATTTCAGAAGAAACATCACATAATTTTGATTTTTGGCCTATTGGCTGATTCAGTACTCTTTTAAGGCAGTATTTTTTGGAAAAAGAGAAAAGACACACCAGCAAAGGATCCCACAGCAAATCAAACCAGACCTAATTTGTGTCTCAGCTGAAGTACATCAGCCCAAGCAACTTGCAGCCTTTCAAGGCTGATATACTTTGTGTGTGTGTGTGTGTGTTACAGCAACCATAACAGGTCGATGCAGAGAAAGAGAAAAAGGGTGTGGGGGTGAAGGTGGTGAGAAGGGGAGAGAAGGGGGAGGTGTGGGTGCCTTCCCTCAGGAGTCTATTGGTCAGAGGACTGCATCTTGACATCTGCAGTCATGTATAAATCTGGATTTGATATAGTCTCTGCAGACTTTGAACATGCCAGGCAGGGAAGCTTGCCCTTCACAGTATGGGTGCACTTTCAGATGCAGAGATTGGGCTGTGACTATTCTGATCTGCTCGAAACAGCCTTTTCAGCACTAACCGAAAACAGAGTGAGGATGGGAAGGCTGACTGCAAAGTTCTGGTGCTAATGGGAGTTTCTCCTGTGATGGGTAGGTCATAAAACACACAGTTGCAAAGACTGTGAGGAGTCTGAACAAATCAAAGAACTTAGTAATAAAAATGATGCGTGTGCCAATATTATTTAATATTAACTTGTGAAAACTATTGAAGAAACATATCTTTGTCATATATCAGAATTGGTTCAAAGTTGAATAAATGGATTAATAGGGTTATTTGTATTGATATTGTCCTCATAAACGCTTTATTATTTAGAAATCAGAGCTGGAAACTGTAATTTCTCTAATGGTTTTTCATCACATAAATTAGCCTGCCTCAAGTCCTCCGTCTAGGAGGCAAGAGGAGAGGTTGAGCTGGTCCTCTTCCTCATTCTTACACAAAATCTGCTCATTTGGATGGATCCCAAATTTTAAAGAAACAAGTTCCTGGAAGAAATGCAGAATGCAAGTGCACACAAGACTTTCATAGGGCATCTCGTTTCAACACCGACTGCCTGCATTTTATCGGAGTACTAAAGGACACACTGAAATTATTTTGTTCTGGCACTGGCATGCGTTGTGATGTGTATGCATTCAATTGCACTTGACAAATCTTTGGGGCAAACAAAATGGTCTAATGTAAGGAAATATCTTAACATATTCCAAAATGACATTTTTAGACCAAACATGTGTTCGATTGATTTGCCTTCTCCAGAGATCACTTTTGAATCTGGGCCAGCAATAAGCAGGGGGGGCAGGCTCTTGCTGAAGGCCAGGCGGGTCAGCCGTGCTTCCGCTGGTATTTCCTGCGCTCCAGAGTTCCGTACCTAACTGTACAAATAGCTCCACATGGCATCCTGAGAGCGTGCCAGGGAATTTTATGATCGCATGCCAAGTATGGTTGTCAGGTTCCACTCCACTGCTGTGTGTGTATGTGTGTGCTCATATGTGTGTGTGGCTGGAGCTAACTTCAGACTGTGTAATTACCATAATCCAAACAGGGCCTTTACCATCTTATTTGCATTCAGCCAGCAGTGCTGTTTTTATCAGCACCACTACTGAATTGTTGCAAAGTTTTAATTATCTTGACAACTCTCCTCTTTTTTTTTTTTTTTTTGACTCTCTCCCCTCTTTGGTTGTGTTTGGATTTTAGAAGCCATACCCCTACAGCAGCAAATCAGATTTCTGCAATGGGAAGTTTTCTCACTTTTTCTTCTGGTACTTGTAAGCAGATGCAAAGGCAGCTTAGAATGAGTACAGAGTGAAGTTGTATTTATTAATTAATGCCTAATATTTTTTGCAGCAAAAGTCACTCCAGATGCCTCTTTTTGATTTGTATTTTAAACCCTGGTGTAACTTTACACACGTGTAAGCTTGCAAAATTGAAAGAAAACCATTTCCTATGCAGACAGATACCCCCTTGCATAAATGTTTGCCAAAATAGAGCTTTAGTTGTCATGTTTTCTATATTTCCATAATCTTTTGATTTAGGATTAGTATAAAGTGTATCATGCCACTTACATTTGCTCTCTCTCAAACACTCTGCATTTTCAGTATTTGAATGCTAAGTTAGACAAATTCAACCTTGAAATAAGACACCGTTTCCTAGCAGTAAGGGTAATTAAACACTGGAAGAGCTTACCCAAGGAAGAGGTGGACTCACTACATCTTGGAGTCTTTAAAATGAGATTTTAGAAGCTTAGACAACTTTCTGAAAGACATTATTTAATCCAACTTCCATCCCCAACTGGGGGAAGATTCTAGTGTACATATATGGGAGGTCATATGAGACAATCGCCCAAGTCCCTTTTGATTTCTCAGCCTGTTGGCCTAAACCTGAGTTTGGATATGTTTTGGTTCACATTTGAAGATCAGTTATAACATCTACATACAGAAATTGTCTTTTGGGAATATTAAGATTAAATATGTTTCAAAACTTTGTTGTCTGCTGTAGACAATAATGTTTTGCCTGCTAGGTTTTGCACTGCATTCTGTTTTGTTTTTATAAGTAGATACAAATCACAAAGGTTAATGCAGATTAAAATAGTCCAGTGTGAGATTGCTATGGAGGAATAGAAGGCTTTCAAGCCTAAAGATTCACAAGTGGAACAAATGCAAAAATGATTTCTAGTCTGTTGGCTTCTCAGGTGCAATAAATACTTTTTTTAAAAAAAGCACAATTAATATATTTTTCTAACCATCGAATACTGTGATTGTACTTAGTGTCTCATCTCTTTTGAAGCTTATGCATTAGATTACATATAATTGCCATCAAACAGTGTGGTAGTATTCTATTCTTCTGAAAAGTAAACCAATTCTGTTTAGCAGTCATTAAATATTTGGTTTGCTGCAGTTTGGCCTTATGAACACCTTATCCTTGTTTTCCCTTTAAAAGGCAAAAATTAAAAGTAAGAACCATTAGGGATTTCTCTTTAAATCCAGCAATCTATGCATACTACTAAGAATCAATGCTCTGTAAGCTGTCTGGTGTTCTGCAATAAATTCTAGCTTTTATAGACTTTTTCTGGGCCAGGTAGCTTCTAATGCCATAGAAATTGATTATTTGTGGTGTTCTTATCACTGCTTAAAATATCTAATTGCTTTTTCTCCACAGATTTGGATTTGGCTTGCTTGATGCTGGACGATTAATGAAGGAAGCCCTAACTGGACAAAGGTTGGTCTCCTGAGACAATGTGTTGTTGATAATGGGTCTGATTTGAGCAAGTCTAGTCAAATTCAATTTTGATAGTATTTAAAGGCACACGCAGGACACATATCGCTGAGTTTTCAATTGGTTTGTCAGGTTTCTTTATGTCTGTTGTGTTACCAAAGCTTATTCCCATTAAGTATTAAAGTTTGCAAAGCAGCAAAGACACATAACTGTCAGCTGCAGAGAAACAAATTTTGCCTCAGTATAGCAAGTTTTGTTCAAAATTTGCCTTTATTCTTTCACACTGTGCAGACTGGAATATGTAATTCATCACTGCATGACTGTTCCCGTGGAGGAATTATTGCACTGATTATTTTGAACCCTAAAAATTATTGATTGAGGTAAAAAAGAGACAAGAAGGTATTGCAATCAGTTCTCAATTTAGCAAGGGCAGCCTTTTTAAAGGCAGCTAATCCTTAGCCTAAAAACTGTATGCAGTTGCTACTGCTCCTGTAGGATTTTTCACGAAGCTGTGCCTGTGTGAAGTTAAGTACGAAACATTTTCCACTGCACTGCCAAATGAAGACAAACACCAAACATCAAGTCACTATCTTACTGGATCACTGTATTGAGTGTGAAATTCAGCGCACAACTCAGTCCCAGTTCTAGCTGAGGAGGAAAAAGATCTCGTTTGCCACCAGAATACTGGACTCCAGGATGTCTCTTTCTCAACAAGTCAAAGCAATGACATCTAGAGTTCAGTAGGGTCTAGAGTACTTTCCTCCTTTCAAGAGATCTTTTTTGCTGGAGATAGGTAAACTAGAGGGAAGTGGAACTTACATCCATGTACCTTGCACCCTGTCTAACCATGGTGACAGTCTCTCTTTGTCCCCAGAGAGGGTTATTGAAGGTAAGCCTAATGGCCAGCTCCCTGGAGGTCTAGGCATGCACTGTGCATCGTTTTTAAGCACCAGCTCGCAGAAGTGACTGCAGACCCTGGTGTTTGTTGTCTTTTGAACACTGTGTAGGGAAAGGCAGAAATCTCAGAGTGAGAAGCAAAACGGATGGACATGGAAAGCACAAGGTCCATGCCCCAGCTCCAGCATCTATCTGTAATCATAGCACTTTTAAGCAAAGTGGTCCCTAGCCAGTTTGGGACCTGGAGTCCTCTCCTGAAGCTGGCACTAACAATATTAAATTCAAATAAATCAGTAACGCCATTCTTGTCTTTTGCAGCATTATCACAGTCACAGCAGTCATGCTGTAAACTAATTTTTTATCTAACAGTCTAGTGATGGTTTAGGCAATGTTTCACTTATGAGGACACTCCAGGTCAGTTCTCTCTCCAGCCTCAGAGCAGTCAGCCTTGTCACTGCCACCTTGCAGTGGCACCCCTTAGACACAATGCTCTGAATCAGAGTGCTCCCTCTCTGTTGGGGGCATGCAATATTTTAGGAAACAATGTAAGGTTTATTAGTCTGGGAAAAAACAAGAGACACATCATAATTTCTTTTTTTCCTGCTGTGCAGGTACAGGACCCAGTTACGTAGGAGGAGCTCACCCCACAAGCCAAGGCATGTTTTTGTTTATGCATTTTAGCCAGATTAATGTTAATACAGACAATATTCAAACAGCTGGTTTTGTGCACCTATGGATCAATGACTTCAGCATGTTTTTCAAGCCTTTCTATAGAAAGGGCAGGAATGCACTAGAAATGTGCAGTCCTGTGAGGTCGTTGCTTCCCAAAAACTTTTCCTCTGTTCAATCCTGCGGTGATTCTCCAGCAAAGCAATGGCTGAGAGTTACACCCCAGAGGGACAGGAGCACTTTCCCTTTTCTCTGTCAATATTACATGTAAAAGGCACAGCAAGGAAGTCTGTTTCTCAGCATTGTACCTACTTGAGGCTTCTAAAGGTGTGATTAATTAGGTGTGATTAATTAAACCATGAGTCATGACCTTCTTTTTTTCCTGTCACATTATTTATGAACAAGAGGGCAGTCAGTGACATTAAATGGTATGAGAAAGTAAGTTTAGAGGAAAATTTAGAAAGAAAATAGTTGTGTTGCATGTGGTCAACCTAAGGGATTTGCTGCTACAGGTGACCACCTGATAAATAGGGTTCCATGGCTGGAAAGAGTAGTTGTTAATGTTTTTACCATAACAGATGGTACCAGTGCTATGTTTCTTGGACTGCTGGGTGCACTGGAAAAGCAGACATGTGTTCTGTTTGACTAATAAAGTAAGATCAAATTCTCCATGTGCTGGGAAGTCAGGCAGGAATGCTGTCCTCCGCAGACAGCAGCACTGCTCTGTTAGCTTGATCTATTACTTGCCATTTTGTTGTTTGGTTGTTTGCTTATTTTTCTGTCTTTTTAATTCCTCTGGAAAATACTGTACTTGCTCTCTGTGTTGACTGAATGACCAGGCTTTGGCAGAAGACATAGCATTCTTCTTCTCTGACCTTTATATCAAAATCGATTAACAATAATTATTTTGCAGAAAAGGATTGACAATAAGATGTGGATGTTCATCTTTAATGAACTCTAGTCACCAAGTGAAAATCAGCTAATTTTGATGATGCAACTGACCACCTTCTCAGCAATAGGTGAATATTTACTCCTTCACAAAATGGTAAAGTAATGTTGTATCCATAGATAATATGAAGAACAACTTTTTGTCTCTCATAATTTCCTGGGACCTTTCTCATTAGTGGCAGTAGCAGGATGTGCTGGCTAGTATTTATGGAGTCAGAAATGGCATAACTTAGAATTAGAGCCTGTGTAATCCTGTCAAATATTCAGAATTTTTTGTTTATGTATTTTAATCTATGTAAAGTAAGGAGTCCACTCATAATCTAATTGATTTTGTTTATTATCAAGCTTGCCATTTTACAGAAGAGTTCACTGGAAGGTGTCTGTTTTATATTGTTCTCACTTCCCTAACAGAAGACCTTATTTAAAAGAATCTTTGTTTTCAATTATGAAAATACTTTCCTGATCTCATCTCATTAAGCCAAAAAAAGATGAAGTGCTATTTTTCCTTTTTATTTGTGACAATACAAATTAAACACACCTATGGCAAACCAATTACTGTATTTATTTTTTTTTTTTATACAGAGCAAACCTATTAACTGTGAACATGGAAAGATGAAGCAAGCAAAAAACAAAGAGAAGTGTGAAGAGTTTCGCTGCTGTATCATCTGTGACACTGTATCAGCTCCTAGTTTTAGGATCATGAGTAAATAGGTATATAAGAGATACGCTGTTATTCTACAAAGAAGGGTTATTTCAAAGAAATAAAGGAAAAAAATTAAAAGGGCTGTCAGTATATTCTCAGGTACTATATGATGACAATGTTAGAGAGGGAGCTTCATTTGGTGTTCTTCTAGTTTTGAATCTATACAGGGGAACAGTACTACAGAGAGATCTAGATAATAATGTCCTTGATCTTGTCAAGTATTGCCGTAGGACTAGTATTGTTACTTTCTTGTTGAATTTACTCATGTGAGAGGAACCACTCTGTTATATAAGTTAAAGGTTCACATTCTGTCGTTCATTTTTTCACTTTACATTATTGTTAAAATAGAGAAAAAAAGGGACTAAAGGAGGCAGGAAGAGAAGCAAAAATAGAGGTGAATTAATAGCAAAAATCAAATATTAAATATTTTCTTTAACTGCAGTCAGAGATGGGGATTATATTTGACCAAACAACCAAATCCTCCACCACAAGCTAGGACTTCACTTTTTATTTCAATACTCTTGATAGAATGGACCCAATCATTTATTCTGTGTGTGCTAAAAGTGTACTACCAACACTAGTAGACCAAGCAGATAGTTTTGTTTTATTGTCTGAATAGTGTAATATTTTACTGCAAATATAAATAGTGTAGTCATTTGCCTGATCCAAGTTCCCAATGTACTTTATAATAAACCAAGTAATTTTGAGAGAAATATGTTGACCAACCCTAGCCTAACACTATTCACATAGTTCAATACTGAAACCAATTCCAGCCATTAAAAAGTGAATGGTATTGCATTTACTTTTACAAGTTGAAGGATAAAGACGGAAATGCAAGAGATGGAGCAATAAGAACCATGTGGTCCCTGCTCTTTAAGGGTCTCATCCAGAGCCTGTTAAGGTAATGAGCATATTCTTTTTGATTTTAACAGACTTTACATAAGTCAAAAATTATTGAAAATTAAGAACAGGAAAAAGAATCACTCTGTTTACATTTGTTAGGTTATATCCATAATAAACTTGTAAAAAATGAAAACAGAAGAAAATATTAAAGCAGATCCAAATATTACATTTATTCTAGAATTCAAGATTACTTCATTTTCTGCTCCAGTATAAGTGCACAATGTCACAAACATCAGATTTTTCCAAAGCCTTTACTGAAAACATTTCCCATCATGGAATACTTCACCTTGCTTTCTTCTTACAGCTGTTCCTTCTAGAAAAATGCACCTTCAGACAAGTAGTTATGAATATCAGGGGGGTAGTCTGGAGCATACCACAACGTGAGACACCAAAGCATTACAGATTGCTCTCATGGGAATTGCTGGGTAGGAGGTGGTGGTGGGTCAGAAAAAAAGCCAAAGCAGAGTGCCCAGGAGTGCCCCAGGGATCAGAAGCAGGGCCAAACATCACTCTTATAAAGATTTCTGACCTAACCTAGATTTTCATTTATGGTTAGACCAGAGAGATTTTATTCTTACAATGGATTTTTATCTCAGATAAAATCAAACAAGCGAAAGGACTATAAGATTAGGTCCTCATTCTGCATTCCACCAAAGGAGAACTGAGGAAAAAACAGATAGAGTGATTTGTTGGGGCAAGATGAGCCCTAGGTTGAAAGACACCTCCTGTCCTGTTCAGAGGCTGCACTTTCCTGACTGTGATGTAGAAAAAACACAGCTATCAGTAGGCCCTTGCAAAAACCCTCCACCTGTTTTTGCTCAAAGTGACAAAGCCCAGAGGACAATGTCTGTATTCCCTACTGGTCTGTAGGGAGCGTGATGTAGCTGATGCAATTCCCGGCTCCAACACACCTGCAAGGTCTCATTGATCTGCTGCTCACTGCTCTGAAAACTCAGAAATCTATTATCAGTGTAAGCATGTGCTTATTGATCAGATTACCTGCTTCTGTTCCCTGTGTGCACCTAAATGTACCAGCTTACGCGCACACACACACACATAAATATACACACATGTTTTCATATATGCAGACATGCACACACAGGTTACAGGGATGTGTGTATGTTAAAGGCTTTACTTTTTTTTTTTATTTTATTTTTTGCTTTACAAAACTGCACATAAATAAAAAGAATGGACCTTCTCTGTGAAACGTGAGCACAGGAACACTCACAAGTGGCCAAGAGCTGCTAAATAATTAATCAATAGAGCTGTGTGGCAGTTTGAAATGTAAATGTGATGGATGAAGGTGTGATGCTTGTCATCAAGCAGAAAATGATGTGACTGGAATGGATAACCCACAGTACCTGCTAACTTGCAAAAGCTTGGACACAAAGATAAAGTAAAGCCATCAGAAAGCAGCCCTGGCAACCCCTAATTCTTGCCTTTGACCCACAATTCACTTTCATGTCTCTATCCCAGAAGAGATGTTTAAAAAAATGATGAAGAGAGATCTTGGGGTGGGAAAGGGGAGAGAAAAAAACCATCTGAAGAAATGCTACCTGACAAGGCTGCAGGCTACATTCTTGAGAACACCTTTCTTTTCTTTATGTTCTCCTACTCCTGTTAAATAAAAATGCGGCTCTTTTTTTCCCTTTCCTTTCTTCCAAAACTCTCCCGAGCCATTCCTGCAAGTGGTTCTGTGACTCGGGAGCTGACAACAGCCGCGTGCAAAGGAACAAAGAATGAGAGTGACAATTCAGAGTGCACGCAGGTGAGAAAGACACCTTTTACTTATCAAACTAGGCTGCAAAAAATGCTCTTTTTACTCAGTGAGCTAGAAATAGCAGTGATCTAACAAGGCACTGATCCAAATTCTTTATTTATGCTGAGATGTAATGCTAACAGGATTTTTAGGTTGACTAGTAGTCTGTGGCCCCTCCATTCAAGTAAGGAAACATTCCTCTGATTTGGAAAGAGGAAAATCCATATAATTACCGTATATTATGTGACAGGAAAATGTATGCTGTGATGGCAAAGGGTGACAGAAAATGTCCATCAAAAAATTTGTTTTCAGCAAACTTCCTATGCCAGTCATTGCATTCTCTCCATGGGGAAATGCAACCTGGTGGAACTTATTTCTCCAAATTAGAAAGAAATTTACTTTTTTTACAAAAGTGATTTTTTATTCTTTTTTCCCTATAAAATTGCAAGCTTGCAGGTAGGATTTAAAAGTTTGATGGCTCCTTCTCCTTGAAAGAGACAATCTTATTTCTCAGTAAGAACCATTTAGCAGGTTGAAGGATTTTTTGTCTCTTTTGTTATCAAAAGCCCATTCTTTACAGAAAGTGAAAAATATCATAGTTTAACATTAGATTTTCAAACTCCCCAAAATATATTTTAGCAGATAACACCCACTAAAAGCGAAAGCTAAATATAGATATATAATAGTGCTTTGTCACACTAAATAGATGTTCTACGATTCTTAGATATAAAATATACATACAAGTATTCTCTTAAAATCTTTGGGGTTTTTAAGACCTCTACAGACTTGAATTGGCCTAAAGAAGCAGCAGATCTCCAGGTGAACTGACCAGTGTTTTCATATTTCCTCAAATTATTATTTTTACCTTGTTTTTGTTGGGATCATGTTTTTAATCTTTATGATACATTTATACAAGAGGCAGCCAGAAAACACTTAAGTATGTAACCCAAATTAATTTTAGAAGTCAGGAATTAGAGCTTACATTGGAATAGAAGTCCAGCTGGCCCAGCTCCACAGTAAACAACCTACTTTTGGTCTGGGACTTTTGGTCCTGTAACTTGGCTACCTGGATAAGCTTAAACAGAGTGCCATCTATGTACACAGGAAATCACCACACTCTAAAGAAATATTTCCCATTTAGAATGACAAAACCGTGGTCTGATAGGTAATTAAGCTTCAATTTCGTTTCTGTGGCATTGTAAATTGTGTTTTCAGATTTGTGCTTTTGGAGCTTTCATCTAGCTCATGCCAAAGCCACTCAGCTGTATATCTTTACCTACATGGCAGGTACGTTCATATTATTTTTTAGTCCTTTTGCACAACTTCAGGAATGCAATATCATTATAAGTAGGAATCAGACCCTACAGTTTGGAACTATCTGGATACACTAGTCTAGGGGAAGGAGGAACGACCCCACACCATACATCTGGTATGTTTCTGACAGGAAACGTTCATAGATTTTGCATTAGACCAAAAGAATTTGGTCTAATGGTGCAGAGAGATTGATGTTGAGTATAAGCAATTGCTGTATTGTAGTAATGTAGCAATATTTATGACTCGTAGGACTGGTAGAAGTGGAAAAGAGCCAATTTAGGTCTATGTTGTCACTAAGCTCATAGAAGGCCATTTCTGTACCTTCAGTCTGTTGCAGCCACAGAGGAACTTAAAATAGGGAAATGACAGATTAGGCTGCAAATGTGCATCAGTCATCCCCAAACTCTGGGAAAGAGATGCACCTACTTCAGGCTAGAGAGAGCTGCGATGCACCCTGTCCTTGTGCCCACTCTGGAGGACCAGCTCGCTAGGACAGTGAGACATGCTCCCACGTGAGCTCTGTGCTACAGAGCTGCCCACATGTAATGTAAAGGTGCCTACCAGCCTAGCAGTAGGAGCAGTGGTTCACTGTGGTAGGGATTGTACAGATACACCAGCAATTAGCCACCAGTTTCAATTATCATAGAAATATAGAGGGACCAAAAAGACTTTGGTTTCTTCACCTTTCAAATTTGCTGGGTACATAGAGGAAAGTGACGTAAAAATTACCCTAAGAAAGGCAAATCTAAGAAAAGACCCCAACAGTGGCCACTAGCAGCTGGCTACTGAAGAGAAGAAGCTGGTAACCTCATAGCAGAGTGCTCCAGCTCACTGTCCCAGCCTTCAGAAATTTGAAACTTGGAGACTTCTCAAGCTAGAAAACTTTGCCTGACTTGCTATAGTAATGGTTGGTTAAATATGCAGCAATGACTCTCCTATACTAGCAGGCTTTGTTTCACCCCAAGTGTTATGCCAAAATAGTTGTATATCATCATGAAGAATAACTGCATTTCCCCATAGTTGATTTCCTATGGCACATTTTACTTAGACACTTCCTCAACACACTCACAAATATGTTATATATCTAAAGGACAATCTCCTTTTCAATATGAATGGGTATGATTACAGGCATATTCATTTTGTAAAAGGTACAAAATGATACAAATGTGCCTTTCCATCTCATATAATGTCAAAGTAAGACCCTCTTGCCCTTTTATTTTGATCTCCGCCATTTGAAAATAAAAAAAATGACTTGATTATATGTTTTTGACCATTAAGTGTATAATTGCTTTTGTGTTTTGACATTTAATTCCTCTTACCAAAATACATGGTAGAAATTAAAAGTCAAATCTTTTATGCATTTGATGTACAGATCCTTCCATGTATTTCAGTAAGAGAAATAGAACAGTGAAACCTTGTGTCAAGTATAGTGAAGCCATCTGAAAATGAAGACACTTTTTATACTGGAAATTTGACTATGGCCCCAGTTCTGCCCTCCCTTATCTAGGTCACTGGCTTTTTGAAATTACTGGAATGTCTGAGTCAAAACCAGGCAAAACCTGCAAGACTTGACCTTTAAAATAGAGCTGGGATGATACCATGCCCTGTGGGGCAGATTTCGAGATTACAGTCCAGTCTGAAAATTACTTTTGAAAGCCCTAAGAGAGAAGCTGGCCAAGCACTGGAGTGTATTGACCTGGTATGGGATTGCAGTAGTGAGGAACACAGGTCCCAGCAGGTCCTTAGGGCATCAGTGGGGTGTCTTGGCTGGCCCAAGGCCAGCAAGAGGGCTCTGATGCTGAGAGAGGAGGCAAACTCTGCGGGTTGGTGAAAAGGTGTGGCTGCATGCAATATGTTGCTTGTGGATGTTTCAAGTGGTTTTTATCTCCCCTTTGTCTCAACTTTCCCCATAAAGTTTTTCCCACCTCATGCACTGTCCTTCCCTCCATTGCGTTATTCCCTCTCTTTCTCATAGTTTTCACTTTCACTACTTGTGCCCTTTAACTGAATTCTCTCTCACTCCTTTCTTCTCTGTAGGGCATGCAAAATTCTTCATCTTTACTTTACTTTCTGTTCATACTCATCCAAAACCTATGTGTCGAGATTTCTTCTGGCTGTATTTCCCCCCACTAGTCACAGTACTGTGATTTATCGCCATTCGCTGAACTCCTAAAGTGGCTTGACCCTACAGCCATAGCTAAGATTAGTTCCCTGAGATTCAGATTTATGGAGTCTGGTGTTGTCTGCAA